ACCCCGTTGCGGGGATTCTTTTGGTAGGCCGCCCCCCCCCCCCCCCCCCGCACCAAATGGAAAGAAACGTTCTTGTCATCGGAGACGAGGAGTCAAGGTGAGGGGATTCTGTGTGGATAGACCTTGTTAAAAGCTTTCCTCTGCCTTCACCCTCCGCACACCTTTTAGCTACGTTCCCACAGTCGCTTCTCTTTGTTTACCTGCTTTATAAACACCTAGGCCTCATCACTTCTTTGGATCTTTATTTTCCTGTGAGGACTCCCATGGACATGTAAATTTTAATTAAATCAAACATATATGCTTTTCTTCTGCTACTCTGGCACAGGTCAGTCCTAGTCACAAACCCGAAGAGGGTGATGGATACATTCTACCTCCCATACCTTAGTCACTGGGGAAATGCAAATCAAAGCCATAATAGAATGTCACTTCACACCCACTAGGACATCCATAATCCCCAAAGGGCAAATAACAAAATAATCCCAAGCCAGAAAACAACAAGTGTTAGTGACAGAGTGGAAAGCAGGACTCTCCTACTTTGCTGGCGGATATGTAAAATGGTGCGCTGTTTTGTGGAAAACTGTGGAGGTTCCTCAAAGATTCAAACATAGAATTACATGATCCAGCAATTCCACGATAGCCAGAAGGTGGAAACAATCCAAGTATCAGCTGATGGGTAAACAAAATGTGGCCCATCCCTACAACGGAAAATTATTCAGCTGCGCAAAGGAACCAAGTACTGACACCTGCTATACACACACAGCATGATGCACCTTGGAAACATGCCGAGTGGAAGGGGCCAGACGCAAAAGGTCACATACTGTATGGTTCCATTGATGTGAAACGTCCACATAGGCAGATCCATAGAGACACAAAGTAGATTAGTGGAAAGTACAAGTTTAGCTTATTGACATAGATATTTATAGAACACTGCACTCAACAACAGCAAAGTTCATACTGTTTTCAAGTGCCCACAGAACATATAACAATATGGGACATATCTTGGGTCATAAAACAAATCTCAACAAATTTAAAATAATTGAAATCATACAGAGTATGTTCTCCATCTACAATGGAATCATGCTAAGAAATAATAGAAAGATTACAAAATGATCTCCAAGAACTTGGGAACTGAACAACACACTCATGTATGATACATTGGTCAAAAAGCAAGTCCCCAGGGGCTCCTGGGTGGCTCAGTCGATTAAACATCCAACTTAGGCTCAGGCCACGATCTCACAGTTCATGAATTCAAGCCCCGCATCGGGCTCTGTACTAACAGCTCAACACCTGGAGCCTGCTTCCGATTCTGTGTCTCCCTCTCTCTCTCTGTCCCTCCCCTGCTCACACTCTGTCTGTCTCTCTCTCAAAACTGAATAAACATTAAAATAAAGCAAGTCTCCAGGGAAATTAAAATTGATGAATTAAATTATAATAAAATATGTTTTTAAAATTTGTGGGACACAGTTAAAGCGGTGTTATGAGGGATAGTTACAGCATTAAATGCTTACTTTAAAAAAGAGGAAAAGTCTTAAATCAATCCTCTAAAGTTGCACCTAAAGTAATAGGAAAAAGAAGAGCAAAATAAACCCAAGACCAGCAGAAGGAAACAATAAAAATAAGCAGAAATCAATAAAATTGAAAAAAGAAACAGAATCAATGAAACAGCAGGCAATAAAATGGACAAACCTCTAGCAAAATTGATACAGAAAAAGAGAAGAAACAAATGATCGATATCAGGGTTGAACCAGGGGTATCGGCTCAGACTCTGCAAACACCAAAAGAATGAGGAGGAAATATTCCGCCTACACAAATTTTACACCTTAGGTGAAATGGACCAAGTTCTCAAAAAAGCACAAACTACTACATGTTCTCCATTTGAAATAGGTATTGTGAATACCCCTATAACAAAGAAATTCAATAAATAATTTTTAAGCTCAAACAAACAAAAAGATATCTCCAGGCTTAGGTTGTTTCACTGGAGAATTCTTCTAAACATTTGAGGAAGAATTACCATTAGTTTTACATAATATTTTCCAGGAAATGGAAGTAAAACAAGGGAGAAATTCCTAATTTGTTTGATGAAGCTGGTATCACCCTGAAACTCAACTTGTCAGATAGTATAGAAAAGGAGACCTCAGATGAATATCCTTCGTTAATAGAGATGCCAAAATCCCCACCAGAACGTTATCAAATAGAACTCAACACTGTATAAAAACAATCAGGTACCATGACCACATGGGGCTTATTCCAGATGTGAGAAAGTTTTCATACTTGAAAATCAATCAATATTAATCCACTCTATCAACAGGCTAAAAAGGAAAAATCACAAATGCACATCAGTTGATGCAGAAAAAGCATTTCTTGCAATTCTAAATTCAGCAGTCATTCAGGATAAAAACTTAGAACACATCAGCATAGAGGGGAATTCCCGACCTTGATGAAAACCCTCTATAAACCCCCAGGTACCGTTATACAGAATAATGAGAGACTGATACTTTTTCTCTAAGATCAGGAACAAGGCACAGAAGTCTTCTGAACTCACCACTCTTATTCAACAGAGTGCTTGAAGTTCCAGCCAGTGCAGTAAGGCAAGGAAGGGGGTCAGGGGGTCATACAGATGGGGGAAAAAATCCTCTTTAGAATACATGAGTTCAGCAAGGTTTCAGGAAACAAGATAAACATACAAACATCAACCTTATTTCTATCTACTAGCAATGAACACATGGAAACCAAAATCACAATCTTTAAAAATTTATAATCATTCAAACACTTAGGTACAAATCTAAAAAACATGTACAAGACTTACCTGCTGAAATTTACACAGCACTGATGAAAGAAATCAAACATCTAAGTGAAGGAGAGACACCATGCTCGTGGGTTGGAAGACACAACACCGTAAAGATGTCAGGTCTCCCCAGA